CCCTCCCGCTCCCTGCGCTGGCGGGGGGGCTGCTGCTCCCGCTCCCGCCTCTTCCCCGTCCCCCCAAGGGGTTGGGCGTCCTCACGCAGCTGTTGTGGAGCCCAGAGGGCACCGAAGCGGGCCTCGGCTTCAGCCCGGGACCTGTCACTTGGCATCCCGTTTCTAAGCCTGTATCTGGGGTTTTCCCGTTCTCCCCCTTCTGTAACACCTGGTTGTTTCCTCCTCCTTGGTGCCTCCTCCTTGGAGCAGCAAGCGGGTTTTTTTGGTGTTCCTGATAGTCTTCCAGCTAAAATATCCTGAAAGGGTGAAGTATTCCTGTTTTTAACAGCTCTGGGCAGTCATACTTTCTCAGATTCCATTTGATGACTAGGAGTTGCAACACTTAGAATTACCAAAAAATCCAAAATCAGGTAACCCAAAATTAGAAGGCCTTGTCCTGAACTGGCAGGTGTAACTAGTGGTGCTTTCCAAAAACAACTGGCAGAAAATTTAAACTGTTTACCTTGTGTTTTTTAAACTATGATCATCTAACCACAAGTTCATATCATGCTTAGGTTTCAGAATACCCTGTGTTTGCACACAGAGTTGCTTGTATTAGGTAACTGTGTGAATTATATGTACCGTATAGTCCTAGCTCAACCTCTGTCTCTCTGAAATACCACAACCCCTCTCTGGATTTTTGCAATGATGACAGGTCCCCTTCCTGACTTCTGCCTCTGCTTTTTTTCACTGTGGGGCTGAAAATGTTGTAAAACCTGTGTCAGGTTGCATGTGACAAAGTCAGAGTATTGTTATTTCCAGCACTTTGAAGCTGCAGAGGACTACATTCACTTTTAAGTATCACTGCAGGTAAGTGGCAGTCTTGCTTTTGAAAGCTTATAAGTGTGTTTGAAAGTAAAAAATTATATGTATTATTAAACAGTTGTGATGTGATCTGATTTCCCCATCTCTTTTCACACAAACTCAGTTTGCTCTATAAGAACAATGACTTTGCATTAGTTGACTGACTTTACTACAGTTGATATCTACAAGTTAAACATTCGTTAGGAGCACCACCTATGCAGGCAGATCTGATCACATTCACACTTTTTCTGTCTGTTTGGTTTTGCAAGCTAAGTTTTTATTTAGAGGGTCACAAAACCAAAATTGTTGTTAGAAACTTTGAATGTAAGTACAACCTAGTGAGAAGGGAAGGCATTCTGGAAGATTAAGGAAATGTGTTATTTACTAAATACTGTAGATTTTGTGCTCTTTGAATATGTCTTAGAAGCAAGGTCAAAAAGCACCAGAATCAAGCTGAAAAGTGTGTGAAATTGCAAGTGGAAATAGTCCATTGCTTGATTGGAGCAGGGATCCACAAAGTAGTAGAAGTAAAGGTGGTATAGCAAAGTGTTACAGATGGGTTGGAGAGGTGAAAGAAATATAGAATCATTTAGGTTGGAAAAGACCTTTAAGACCATCAAGTCCAACCATTAGCCCTACGCTACCAAGTCCAGAGCTAAGCCATATTCCCAAGTGCCACATCTGGATGACTTCTAAACACATGCAGGGATGGTGACTCAACCACCTCCCTGGGCAGCATGTTCCAATGTCTGACAACCCTTTCAGTGAAAAAGTTCTTCCTAATGTCTAGTCTTAACCTCCCCTGGTGCAGCTGGAGGCCATTTCCTCTTGTTCCATTGCCAGTTACTTCTGAGAAGAGACCAGCACCTACCTCTTCACTACCTCCTTTCAGGTAGTTGCAGAGGGTGATGAGGTCTCCCCTCAGCCTCCTTTGCTACAGACTAAACAGCCCCAGTTTCCTCAGCACCTCCTCCTAAGACTTGTTCTCAAGACCCTTCACCAGCTTTGTTGCCTGTCTTCGGACACACTTGAGCGCAAAGCTGTGATAAAAGAATGTGAAGAAACACCAAGATGTGAAATGGAAGCATAGTGTTCAAACCCTGGATGTGAGGCAAGAAGCCAGTGGAGGCTGGAAGAGATTATGAAGTTTGTTCTAAATTAGCTAGTGTAGAAATGACAGAAATCTGCTACAGAGTTTTTCATTCACAAATTAACCCAAATGAAGGTCTGTTAATTTTTAGTGAAAGTGGTTGCAGAAGTGGTCTCCAAGGGACTGAGATAAATACTGAGGTAGCATGAGTAAGTAGTACGCTGAAGGAGGGAGAGGATATGAAAGGCAACTCGGGGAGCTTTGATAAGTTTTGTTCAGGTAAAGAGCTGATGAGTTTTGATTATAATAGAGCAGATCTGCAATTTCTACTTCTCTGGGAACTGTCAGGCTGGGTTGAGCAGTTAAGATACTTGGAAATTTAAATCTAGTTAACAGTAGTTATACTGTGTCATTTTGAGTATTTGCTGTCTTGTGAAAATTGACTTTGTCTCCTGAAAAGTCCTTTTAAACACGTGAACGTCCATAGCAATTTGCAGCTATTGCTGTCTTCTCTGGCTTTGGAGAGTTGACAGTCTGAGACTACCTCAAGTGCTAAGCAGACTGTTGTCTGAATGTGGATAGAGCTTGTCTGCTGCGATGCAGTTAGGACATGTTGATCTTTTGGGAAACACTGAAACCTGAATACCTGTTATTGCTTAGATGGGAAAGAAACCTGTGTTGCCTCTAATTCTGAAGATTGCCATACTGTGATTTCAGACCCAAGCTGAAAAAAATAAGAACAAAATAAACCAAAAAAACCCTCATGAAATTGCACCCCCAGCAACAGGAAAAACGTGTGTGGGGGGGAGGGAGGAGCTGTGTTATATTGTGCAAACCTTTCGTCCTAATGTAACTGTCTGGGTACAGTTGTGCCTCTTTTTCTCTTCTGTAGTAACGACTTCCTAGATGACCTTTTGTTTGTAGAGGGAGGCAGCATGTTTATGGCTCTGTTGGTCTAATAATAGAACTTACAGGTTGCTGTACTCTAAACCTCTCTGGGCCCAAAAGCTCATCTATCTCCCCAAAGTTTGTTGGTACCATTCTCTTACCAACCTTGCCTTGCCCATATTCTCAAATCATTGTGGCTAGAGCAACATGGCAGTGTGAATCAGTAACAGGTCCAAGCATCAAGTGCACGTTGAACTATCTAGATGTAATTTATTCCTCCTCCCAGCTTGCTTTTGCAGAGTACATAGTTTAAAGTGCACTGGAGTAATAGAAGAGGTGTGACTTGCTGACCTTAAAGGAGGGAGGTAAGGAGAAGAGTAAACACTTTGTACCCAAACTGACTGTCAACTTCTTTGCAGTGTGTGTTGTGCTAGAGGGCTCAAGCACTGGACTCTGACTCTTTTCCACAGTGTAATGATTATTAGAAGTCTGACCAGGGTGCATTGTGCCTGTTTCTAAGTGGTCCTCAAACTTTTCAAAGCCTGACTAAAGATGTGAACACTCAACAAGGACAAATTGTCCTTTATTACTCTTTTTTTTTTTCAGCACCGTAACTACTGTTTGCATTACATGAGGGCACCTATTGGTTTTCAGTTTCCTTAACTGAGTAAGGGCCTTTGTACTATCACAGAGTCACAAATGGTTTAGGTTGGAAGGAGCCTTCAAGATCATCTAGTTCCAACCCCTCTGCATGAACAGGGACACCTCCCACTATCACATGTTCCAAAACTGAATCAAGTGATGGGACTGGCATTCTTTGTTGCTTTCTGCTGAAAGTGGTTTTATCTTGATTCTGTGTGTCAGTCCATCCAATATTCTCTTCTGTTAAGCTTACTGTAACTAGATCTGAATTACCTGCAAGTACAGACTTCTGCAGACCCAACTGAAATCAATCTAGCTGCTGTTCTGGGTGACTTACATAGTTGGGTAATTATTTTATGAACTAAGGCAATAGAGATTTTGTGCCTAGGACACAATCCTGGCAAATTAATTTCTTCCCGGCTAGGCCCATGAGTTGCTACTGCACGTCATGTAGGAGCATAGGTGGGACATCCAGACCTGTGATGTGTGGATGGCATTTTAGCGAGGCAGTGGGCCAAATTACTGGGATTAAAGGTTAGTCAGTTCCATGGGAAAAATAATACTGTCTGCATGCTCCTATAAATAGTTTACAACATCTATAAACATCCTCTTGTAACTCTAGTAATCATAAAAATATGTATCTGGCAAGTGTGTGCCACTGCATAATCCTCTCCTAAATTCAAAAGGCATTTCTCTTCATAGTGAAGTCCTAACTAACCACTAAACTTAGAAAATCACTTCCTTGACAGGCAGTCTTGAGGGCTGACATTGTAATGAACTTGTATCCTATACATTTCTTATTTTGAAGACTCTTTTACCTAATAGCCTCTCTTGATTTTAGTTTTTGGAGCCTAATATTTTGGACCCATATCAGTAAAATTATTCAGAGAGTGTGGGGATACAGGTGTGCTGAATGCCCTGCTGCCATACCTGGAACTACAGACCAATCAAATTAATCAGATACACATTTGCATTATCAAATCCTAACAGATCATCTCTTTCTGAATTTCAGCAAGTGTACTGTAAGTCTTGTTTATAACTTCACTGTTCTACACCACCCTGTTAGAAACAATTTTATTTGCAGGCTTGCAGTCTTTTTTTTTCACTTGCTGGAGGTCAGAGATAGTGTCATGTGACTTCTACTTTTCACAGAAGTTGGAATCCTTGCCAAGTCCTACATTGATCAAGGGCGGCTTATTCCAGATGACGTCATGACACAACTGATGCTGCATGAGCTAAAAGGTCTAGATCGGTACAACTGGCTGTTGGATGGTAAGTTAGTGTGTTGGATATCACTGTACACGGAGAAAAAAAATCTGCACGGAGACTCTTTGAGTGCTTTGGTCACTTGAGTGTAGCTGTACTCTAGTAGACATCCTCAAGCCATAGTAACTGGTCATTATTTGTTGCCAGCTTGTGAAACCTTCAGCAGATAGTCTGCCTTAGGTTTTTTTGGCTGTAAAATGCTTTGATTGCATCCTGCCTTCAGAGCATTACAGGGATGTTTAGTTAATGTTGAGAAGGGTAGTTCAACACTCCAGTAAAATTTCAGAACTGGCAATTCTGGTAATTCTTGTGATATATTTCCCCTTTAAAATACACTTTTCATGTTAAAGTCCTTCAGGAATGAAACACTTTTGAATAATGGAGCCAAGGAATTATTTAAACAGAAGAGAGGTATGTGATACAGAAACAAGGTATGGAAACAGGACTGCAGCAGTGCAATGGATAGTAAAATCATTAATCGAAGCACTGGTTAAGTGCTCTAAAAGGTCTTGCATTTGCTTTTTGGTTCTGTTCTGTAGGGTGAATTGTTCTGTCATTCTGCAGCGTAAGGTCATTGCTTCAGTGTTCACAGTAGAGGTAAAATGCATTTGCCACTGTCTTCATGGAATAAATGATTCGTTACATGTTCTGGCTCTCCCTCTGTTCTCAACGCTTAGAAGCACCACCATGAGCTAATGTAAACGTGAGAGAAATAGGATGAGAGCAGCTAATGACTGATGCAAACCAGATGCATCAAACTTAATGCATAAATGAGAGTGTGGTCTGAGTTAATCAACTCTTGGCCCATGGGGCTACGGTTGAATGCATGGCACAAAGATAGCGTTTAGGCTAGATGCGTGTGTTTTTGGATTCTTGTCACTGCCTGTCTCAGTAGATAAAAGTAAAAAGTTGTTGCTGTGGCTTTTTTTTTTAGAGGGACTGAAAAATCCACAGTGTTCTCTGTCCCTTAGTGCTTTATTTTAATTGCTTCTAGTACAGCAGTCTCTTCCAGTGGTTTTAGCCACAGTTACGTTCCTCCTTAGTGAAGAAAAAGGCTGAATTCCCACAGTGAACAGCACAATAAAACATTATCATTAAAGGAAAGAGCTGCAGATGTTTTTTTTTCTTTAGTTCCAGGTCCTGTATACACACAGTTTGAGCCTTGTGGATCTGGACATTTAGCAGTATAGCTGGGCACGCTGGCAACTCTTAGCAGGAGGATGGTGTGGTGACTGTAAGAGAATGAACAAACATCTGCTGCATCTTAATCTGTTGCCTCTTCTAAACTTTGGGAGCAGAAATGTCTGCATAAGCATTTGTAATGAGACTCAGTGAATTAACTAAGGATAGCTCTGGCATAATTGGCTCTGTAAGAATAATACTGTTCTGCTGAAACATGCTAACCAGAGAGTGTTTAGTTTGACAACTTGTGGGAAACTGTTCTTCTTGGTAGCCTCTGTGACAGCATTGGCTCATGACACAACTGCAACTCGGAACAAACAGCTGAGGTCACTTAGGTCAAACTGAATAGTTTCTGAGCCGTTTGTATACTCACTTAGCCAAATACCCGTGTCCACTGCCTTAGGTAGGTTGGTGGCTTCTGGAGTTACAACAGATGTAGTTGTCTGAGTGTGTGTAGATATGATCTGCCTAAATGTATATGCTGTATTATTCGCACACTTTCCTGTGTGTTGCAGAATTCTTCATAATTCATCACAACTTGGAGGTTATTTCTCTGTATTGATAAAACATGGCATGCAGCCAACACTGGTTCAGTTTCAATGACATACTTTTGTAAAGGCACTTTAATTTGTTGAGGAATTTCTCATTACCAAGTCCCAAAGCAAATCTGTTTTCCAGCTGCACAGTTAAGATGTGTGGTGGCTGACTAGTTTGTCAATAGTTAAGACAGAAAAGCGGTGCTGGAGTCCTGGCTGCTTCCATGAGATAATGTGTACATGAGAGAAATAGGATGAGGACTGTGATGCAAACCAGGTGCATCAGATTTAATGCACTAACAAGAGCTTGGTCTGAGTTATTCAATTGCTTCCTTTTGTGTTGTGCAAGACAAGACACAGTAACCTTAAGACCATATATTTTTGTTTGTTTGTTTGTTTTTCTGTTGTAAGGCTAGTTCTTGGCTGGTTCTTTACTCAGGCAATGGACTCATCAACCAATGTTATGCAAAGAATTTCTTAAATTTGTACCCAACAGTACTTGCCTTTATGGAGAAGTTTACTTGTACGGTATGATGAAAATTACAAGCTACTGAAGAACATGAGTCTGTGCAAGAGGTCTGTAGGTAGAGGTATTCCAGTAAATCCTGTGGTGCAATAGCATGTTATGCGGTAGCTTTGACTGCTAAAGTTCCTGTGGTATTTTTTCATTTTAAATTCTTTGTGGAGAACTTGGTTTTCTTGTTCTGTTTTTCTCACCCTCTTCTTCAGTTCCACTAGATTCCTCAGTGTTGAGGTTTGAGGCTAACCTGACACAAAGAATCAGCCATGTGGCCGGTCACGCAACTCTGTCCCACTCCCTCCTGCACCTCCAGCCCCGGCATGGGGAGAACAAGGGCCAACTAAAAGCTCATGGGTCAAGACAAAGGACAAGGAGGATTCTTCACTGTTACAGTCATGGGAAAAACAGACTCAACTTGGGGGAAAATAATAATTTAATTTCACACACCAGGACACAGAAAACACACAGAGCAGGGCTTGCATATGTTACCCCACCCTTCCCTTCTTCCTGGGCCCAAATCAACTTTGTTCCCGGTTTCTCTCCCTCCTTCCCCCCAGCGGCCCAGGGGGACAGGGGATGGGGTTTAGAGTCAGTTCACAGGCTGGTGGTTCTGCTGCTCCTTCCTCCTCAGGAAGAAGGATTCCTCACAGTCCTTCCCTGCTTCCCCACAGGGTCCCTCCCATGGGAGAGAGTCGTCCAGGAACCTCTCCTTCATGAGTCCTTCCCACGAGGTCCGGAGCTGCTCCAGCCTGGGCTTCCCACAGAGTCAGGGGCTGCTTCGAGAACAGTCATGTCCCCTGGCGCACGGTCCTCCATGGCTGCAGATCCAAGCCCATGGGCTGCTGGGTCACATCTGCTCCTCCTGGCACCTTCAGGGAATGTTCCACCATGCTCCTCCATGAGTGCAGCAGGGCTGGCATGCCATCTTGCCATGGGCTGCAGGGAAACTTCTGGTTGTGCACCTTCTTCCCCTTATTCCTCAACACCTCAGGATATTCATCCCGGCACTACTTTTCTCCTCTCCAGCACAGCTCTTCTTCTCTCCTCCTTGCTGGTCACACCCACTGTCTCTATTGGCTCCCTGGCTGCCTCAGCGGAGGAAGCTTTCTGTGGCTTCTGTTGGAGTCACCCTGGGGCCCTTCCCCCACTACCAAAAAGCCCACCAAACCAGCACACTCTGGTAGTAACATGTGCCTTTTGAGCCATGCTGCTGAAGCCATGGAGTTCATGGGGCCTTTTAAATGAAGAGACAGGTTCCTGTGCAGCCTGAGCATTCTCTCAGTCATCATCCCCAAGGGCAGTTTGATACACTAGACTTTCCAGAACTTTCTAAATCTACTTTTATGTAAAATTAATCCTGGCCTGCCTCTGTTACATCTATTGGTTTTACTGCAATGGAATTAAATAGGATTGTAATGGTCACCTCTTTAAGCCAGGCTTAAACACAACCGTGGAAGTAAGAGTTGTCACACGTTTCTAGGTTGTTACAGATGTCTGAGTGAACTGCCTGTAGTTTTTATTGTTCTGAATGTATATATACTGGTTTTATTCAATATACTGGTGTGTAGTACATATGAGTATGGGGTTTTGTTCTGTTTATTGGTACATTTCTGGGAAGATGATTAGCTGAAATGAGTAAACAGAAGCTGGGAAGCATTTAAGTTAAAGCACCATGACACATTGGAAAACACTTGGAAAATCTGGTATCTCTTCAACTTTTACAGTATGATGTTTTTTTCCCAACAATTATTTTCTCTAATGACTAAATCCAGGCAATTAATTCTTGCCTTTGGATTTTTATGTTTCCTTTAAAAAGGTTTCCCCAGAACAGTTGCTCAGGCAGAAGCCCTGGATAAACAATGCCAAATAGACACTGTCATTGACCTAGATGTACCATTTGAGACCATAAAATGTCGGCTAACAGCACGTTGGATCCACCCTGCTAGTGGCAGAGTCTACAACCTTGAATTCAGTCCTCCCAAAGTGCAGGTAAGCAATACATGTTAAGAGTTGCATTTAGTAACTGCAGTAAAATGTTTTTGTGCATGTTATAAAACACAGTAGCTCAGAAGAAAAAGGCTCATTTAATCTCTTAAGAGCATGCAACCTTTCTGCTAACAGCCTGCCTCTCAAAATATTGTTAGTGCCCTGGTAGAAACTCAAGCTGATGGGCAATGTGTTTGTCCCATAGAGAATGAAACACCTTGGTGTTTTGTAAGCTCTTGTTAAACCTGTCTTGCACACTGGCATAGGAGTTGGGCATGTTCCTAGCTTGTTATGTAAGCTTGCAGCCTGTAAGTCCAAAGTTTAGTTTCCTTTTTCTTCCTTCAGAAGACTTTCTTTATATTTAGGAAGCACACAGAATCATAGAATCATAGAATGCTTTGGGTTGGATGGGACCTTAAAAGATCATTAAGGAACCCCGATGGGCAGAGACAATGAACAATCAGTCAGAATAATCCACATAATGCTTTCCCTGTGTTTACATTTAACTAAGATGGGTATTTTCAAGGGAACAGTTATCATATTGCAAAATTAGATGTTGACACTTTCCAGTCAGGGAAGCTTCTCAACAGATGAAAGAGGTTATGGCTTGAGACATCCTGTAAGAATAGTAAACTTCAAGATTAACGATTATTCATTGTTACTTCAATATTTTTTAGGAACTCAGATAAACTTCAATGCAACTCAGTTTAAGCTGTATTTCATCCTTAACTCTAAATAACTTACATTTTTTTGGCCTCACATTTCACCTTGAATCTGTATTAAGTTACATCAGAAGCATAGCAAGCCTTGTAGTTTGTTGATTTCAGTGTTGCAGGAAAAAAGGCCAGCTGAAATAGGAGGTAAGCACTGGAAGTGGGCAGCTGGAAACACTGCATTTTATTTTTTAAAACATCGTGTTTTAAGTAATGGTTATTTTTTATTGCAGACGAGCATAGGCAAGCTGCAATAGAGAATTACCAGACCTACCAAAGAGTGGGCTTCAGCTGCAGTAGCTTTGCTGTTAGGAATGCTTGACTCAACCTTCCACTAATTAGCAGGCGTATCACAACATAGTCAAGTAGACTGTAATATTTACATGTAACAATGGAATGGAGCTGAACAGCTGAAATACAGTTGTCTCAGTTATCTGATAGACCTGAAAAATGCTTACTTACTCAAGAGAACCAAAATATTATGGCTTTAGAGTTAATGGAAGGCTGAAGGCTCAATATTTTTTAGGTACAGTGAAGGCACTAGTATGACTGCCTGCACAGGTGCTAGAAATGAAGCATGTTTTAAATTATTGCATTATGTAAAAAAGGTAAGTTTGACCATAAAAATCCATCTCTAGTATGATACAAATGTTCTGGAACAGATTTCCTTCACACCTTCATGAACAGAGAAGCTTTAATGAACATTGGTGGCTACTGATTTTCTGAAATTGACTGCCAGCATGCAAGGAAGAAAGTAAAATATTTTTGTGGTCTAACTGGCTTTGGACTTGTAAGATCACTCATGTTGCCCCTCCAAACATCAGATTAAACTTGTCTTTAGGGAAAAATGAAAATTCTTGAGGATTAAATTAATACATACAAAGAAGCAGACAGTTCTGTGTATTTTGTCCTTAGATGCACCTAAGGAGCCAACTTCTATGACACTAGCTAGTCCTTCACAAAATATGGCAGTGGTCAGTAATTTCTTCAACCATTGCTGGTTTCAAGCTCCATAATCACTTAAAGCACTCCAGTAAACTGGAGGCAAAATAGGCAGTAAAGTAGGAGCTGTCATGATTCACACATTAGCTTCCTACCTCTGTTTACTGTGTCTTAGAAAAACTTCAGTTGGCTTTTATGCCATTATTTTTTTTTTTTTAATACAGCTGTTGCTACATGGTAACTTTTCCATTTTGTAACTTAAAATGAAAGGGCTCCTTTCCGCATTGTCAAACACAGGCTCCTGTTACACAGGAACATATTGCCAACAATATTGTTTTCCCTCATATATGAAGGTTTTGTCTACCTATGTCCCATATTCAACAAACTTTTCAGAGGACATAATTGGTCAAGTTACTATAACCTGATGTTCATTGCCAATACTGAGAAAATATTTCAAACTGATGGACTGTTCTACTGAAAAGTCAGCATCTTACATTCCAGATAAGGTTTAAGCAGCAGCCTTTCTTTTTTTAAGGAGAAATCTACACTTTGACTAACTGGAAACTGATCATAATATAAACAGACACAAAATCTACTTAAACAGAAATATACACCGGTGTTTACTTTTGATCATGATTAGGGGATTGATGATATCACTGGAGAGCCACTTGTTCAGCGTGATGATGATAAGCCAGAGACTGTTACCAAGCGGCTGCAGGCTTATGATGCACAAACAAAACCTGTCCTGGCATATTATCGGTAAGTAGTAAAATCTAGTCTTTCACATTTCTAAAAGCTTCATCTGCTTTAGTATAGAGAGGAACAGATCTCTTCAGTTACAGAGATACAGCAACAGGGGACATGGTATGAATAGCAGTGTATTATTCAACTCGGTAAGAAATCAACCCAGTAATACAAGTTTTCTGCTGTTGCATGAAACTTCTTCAGGAGCTTGCTTAATGAAGGAGCCTTCACTTAAGCCACATTTAGGTTTACAAAAAGCATTATGTATTATTCTATACATTACAGTACTGTTCTGAGCAATATAGCTCTGGTTAACAGGGTAAGAAGAGACATTTCCTCTTTTGGGAAGATGTAACAGCTTTTTCTCTTCTGGATGTATAAATTGAAGCCCTCCTAACAAGGACTAGGGCTCAAGAAGTGATACACAAATTGAAAAACTGTTAATGAGGATTTAAAAGTGGCTGTTCTTAGAACAGGAGTGTGACAGGCACAGCTGGTAAGATTCTTGGGGAATAGTGAGCTATTTGAGAATACTCTGCACATTTGCACTGTGGAATGATAACAGATTGTGTTCTTGCAAGAACCAAAATTATACACAAAGTTTATCTTAAGGTAAAGCTGCAAATACCACAGTGTTAATATATAGATAATGGTAGGTCACCATGTAGAGCTTTGTAGTCTTATCTTGCCTAGACAGAGAAATCGGGACTCTCTTTGACAACATCCTGAAGTGGCAGTCCTTCCTCTATCTCTGTATCTACCATCCTTCAATATGCTCTACCAACACTGATGAACACGACACTAGAATTTCATCTTTGGGGTGGTTAAGTTTTTAAGGGTTTTTTTCTGGATTGACGGTGACTGTCCTGACTTTGATAGCTTTCTGAAGTGAAAATGCCTCAAAACACCACAGTGAGACATAGGCCTAAACTATTATTATTACAAATAATAACTTTCCAGATAAAACTAGCTACCAGAACCAGTTCAGAATAACTTGATTGTGCTGGGTTCACTTTTTTTTTTTTTATGTTCCTTCTTTGATCCTTGAGGTGCAACTTCACCTGCGTTAGTCACGTGTTTGGATGATTGCTGTATAGTATGCCTTACACAACTGCTTTGCTTCTTCGTATTTTTACCCTTCATAGTTTGTATTAAATATTCTGGGGACAGCAATGTGGCCAGTAGCTCACTGTTAAAGAGGCATAGAGTAATGCATGCCCAGCCTGCATTCCTAATGTTATGGCTGTTCTTGGTGTTAAGTAACATCTATTAGCATGCTCCTGCCCAGGCAATCTTCAAGTGAGGTGGAGATCCTGGATCAAGTTAACACTTTGCTTTCTGTAATGCTTTCTTCTTTTTCTGCCTTAGGGAAAAAGGGTTACTGAAATCCTTCTCTGGAACAGAAACCAACAAAATCTGGCCACATATCTATGCTTTCCTCCAAACCAAGTTGCCAGATGTGAGCCAGAAAGATGCTGCCACTCCTAGGTGAAAAGTCTTAACTTCTGCTCATCTGTCATAGCTCTTCATTGATTACATGACATTCAGCAATCAAGGATTTCTCTGAGTAGTCCATCAGACTGATCAAGAATTAAAGTCTAATGTTGTCCTTAACTTATATTATGATAAAATTTGTCTTCTGTTGGTCTCACTTTAATGCTGTAATTTTTTTATATTAAATATACCTAATTTTAAAAATATAGTAAGACTTTAATAAAACAGCTACTCTTGCGTCTCTTGTTAAAAAATATTTAGGCTTGCAAATACTGACTGGTGAAGGAAACACATTTCAGAATACAGCTTAGCTACAAAGTACATTGATTGATTCACTCACTGAGGAATTCTAGTGTGAAGTAATGACAAGGACATGAAAACACATTTCTTTGAACGTGTGATTAGTTGAGGCCAGCCAGAAGCTGTAGGAAACCATGACCACCATTGTGCAAAAAGCCATTTCGAATACATACAGGTTGATCTCATGGAAGACAGTCACTTTCTTTCAGCTTCGCTTGCACAGATGCAAGTGGATTTTGTCTGGCTTAAATTACTTTTACACCTGATTGGATGATCTGTTTTATTACTACGTTTATATTTCTACCCTCACAGCAGCTATCTCACAGGCATGAGAAATAGGTTCAATGATGTATAACACATTTGGTAAAGCCTCTTTGTTCTGCTGTATATGACTTTATTAGTAAGAAGACAGCAAATACTGAACAGATTAGGTGTAATCTGATAAATCTGTAGCTAGATTGTCTTGATTAGTCAACGTGTCTTCTCTACTACCTTTGAAAAAACAACTGATCATTGATGCCAGTGCCAGGATTACCAGTGGTCAATTAATTCACTTTGTCATCATCTTTAGGAAGTTTTATTGTAGAATTTAGACTGATTTTCATGAGTTCATACTATTAATTTATATCTTGACCAGCTCTTGTATTTATTTATTGACTAGATAAGTGGAGTTAAGAACCTTCACAGGCCACACTTGTAACAGTCCAGGTAATGCAGACATTCCACATTTTCAGTGAATTCTCCTAGCCCTTTTATGCTGATCAGATTGACAGTTTTAGGAATAGTTAGCAAAGAAACAAGTCTGCCTGGGCAATGTCTGAAGTAGCTGTGTCCTTCTAATGCATGTCCCAATCTCTTTTTGCAATTACTGTACCTTGGACTACATTTGCATATAGAGTTGTAGCATTATCAATATTGAAACACAGTTGAGTCTAAAAAATATGGTCACTGTAGAATTCGTAAAGCTTTTCCATTACTATAAATTCATAATATGGGAAGCAGCTACAAATGCAAGCAGCTTTCCTTACATTTTAAAGAAAGCTTGCCTAAATTCATCAGACTATTGAAATCTTGCTACCTTTCAGGCCTTACATACAATCAGAACAATACAATGAAGGATGAAGAGTGTACAACTTGTATCTGATTATTTGAGATGTTACTTGAAGATGTCTGGAGTCTGGAGTCTTCCAACTGCAGTTTGCATGTTTATACACAGAAGTGCTGTAATAGTGGCAAGTTAAAAAAGCACAGTAGCATTCTGGATTGCAAAGGTTCTGTGGAAGGCTTTGTGTAGAAATAGTATCTGGACTTCCAGTTTCTCAAACAGGAGCCTTTCCGCATCAATTGTTTGAATTGGCAGTGTCATAAACCTGCTTTAGTTCAGTACTGTATGAAATACCTTTCAAACTCCACATGGCACCTCACTCTTTGGGAACTGCAACAAAGCTTTTTGTTTAAACCAAAGTCTTAGCCTAATCCTTGTAACCTCAAGTTCCCTCCAGCCTCTATATAAAATACTTCTCCCCAAAATGAGACTTGGTTCAAAAAAATATAAAGTTAGCCTTTTGAACAAGAGTCACATCCTCAGAAATGATAGAACCCAGCACTCATGTACACAACCATTGCTTAGATTTTAGGACAAAACCAAATTATGTTTAATGAAAGCACAATGTAACATTAAAATCCCCTTAGTAGAGGTAGAAAGCCAGTGTTTTAATCTACTCCGTTCAGATCTGAAATACTGATACCAGATATTGTTTTATTGCTATTAGTGAAAACCAAATTTGAGAGCTTATATGTCGGCAAGGTAGCATGAATACAGTTGTGATCTCCAATATTTATAGAGAAAAACATGTCCACATCTGTAGTAAGACAATAGCAGATTCTACTGAGAATCTACCACGTATTGTAAACATTGCATTTGTGCAGATATTTTTTTTTCATACCTTATAATTTCTAAAGTCATGAAAGGCAAAAGTTAGTAGCTGAAAACACATCCAGTTCACATTCGGCAATATGAGAATCCTGCTCTTCAAGGACAACCAAAAAACTAGCAGCACATTTTCAAACAATATTACAGGTTTTTCTGAATTACCCACCCTTCAAAATCCCTTTCCCCAAAAACCAAACAACAACAAAAATCTGACACCAAAAATAAAGTGCAGTACCCAGAAAAATAAGTGTCAAGAAAATAGCCACGTTTGTTTCTTTGAACAAAAAAGAAGAAAAAAACCCAAGTACTTGGCTTCAGTCTTAGAGAGTACTATACTGTGTCCATCATTTTGGATTCTTCTTCATCTCTTTGTGTCACAGAGTTTAAACTGCAGACATCTGTGTTTATAGAACCTTGTAGATCACTTGTATTCTGCAACAGATGAAAAATTCACAGCTTAATACTCCGTAAGTTTATATATGGAAGGGAGAGGAGAGAGACAAACAGTTTTTAGCTGAAGTTGGACTCTGTGTTGTCCCTCTTAATAGAAGACATATTTGCAACATTAAGAAATAAGCTCTGAAAAATTAATCAACCAGTATTATCTCATTGTGTCAATAATTCTTTCGATTTGCTGGCATAGGTTGTATTTGGTCTCAGTATTTCTACCACTTGACTGCCCATTTACTCCAACATTCAGCTGTTGAATCATATTTGAAAGGTAATTAAATTCTTTCAAAAAAGTAGCTTCAGTTGTGACTCCTTTCCTAATACCTATTTTCTTTACAATCTTTTAAGTTGCTTCTTCATTCCAGAAACCGGTACTGTAACCGAAGACCTAAATATCCTCAGCTTTCTTTTATTGCAGCTGAAGACTTTGCTTAGGCATGACTTCCCTGAGTGATCCTATAAATAGGATTAGACATTTTACACTGAAAGCTTGTTTTACTGCTTGTGGTAAAGACTGTGAATACAATTCTAGCATCTGATCAGGTTTATGATGCAGTGCTTATTTTAAGCATGATAATGTAAGGCTGAACTAATATATGCTTTTGACTCTACACTGATGCTTTCTGAGTTCAGCAAGTACAAAGAAAGCAGACATACACCTTGTATACTGAAACTGCATGTTATATCCTGAGCACTAGCAGTTCTGAGAATAATCTTCTTTATATTTCACAAAGGTAGAGCTTCTCAAAGCACAGTAAGGCAATCCTACTTTAGTGAAGTCAATTTCTAGAAATAAACAACCTACCTGTGAAAAAGAAGCCAGCTCTCCTACAAGACCGGGATTGACACTGAGATCATGTAGTAACATAGTCTGAAAGCCATGTGATTGTGACCAGATTCTCACTCTTGTTTTGAATGCCTCAAGTTCATTTTTAAAAGCCTCAAAATAACCCTCCCCTGTCTGCAAAGAGAAAATGAAATATTTGCACTTCAGTCAGATCTGAGTTGAAAGCATACATTGTGCTGAAAAAAAACATGAAGTAATGCATGTTATGCCCTTCGGGGAATAACAGCTGTGAACACCTTAAGAATTATGTTAGTCAATTAAAAATGAAATTTCAAGTAGATTTATTTTTAAGACAATCTGTAGTATCTATACATAGAAGCAAAGCAAATCTAATTTTAGCCATTCCTTTATTCTAACTCAGAAGCCAGTACCCTTAGAATAACAGGTGCTTGTTGTACCTCTCTGGTCCAAAGTAAAGCGCAAGTTGACTCGTACACCAACTGAACTCCTTCAAGAAAAACTGAAATCCATCAGTCCTGACTAACTGAATACAGCCTACAGCAAACCAGTTTCAATCTTCCTGCATTTTCCCTGCATAGCTCTAGATTGCTCTGCTTCAGTATTGAGAAGAGGTCACTAATTTGGGCCCCACTGAGAACTGCAGATGAAATAGTAAGTTGTGGCAATACATTGGTAAACTGCGAAAACACAAGTGTAATTAGCCAAAATCAGTCCTTAAACTGGTCTCTATTTGCTACTGTTACTTAGTTATTTCTTGTCTGTAAGACCCCTCTCAGCCCCCTGCTGTATGTTACTTTCCCTCTGGGATAAGAAAAATCCACTAAAGTTTCATTTTCAGAATTGGAATTACACCAAAATATTATGTCTAGACAAGAACTGGTAACTTTCCCATGAGCCTAAGTCAGTCTATAAAACATTCAGCCTCCTGTGCTCAGGAAGAAACCTTCTCTGAAACACTGGTCCCTTATACAGCATCAAGAGTTTCTCCCATCAATTCCCAAGCTGACTTACTTTGGCTTTTTGAAAAAAGAGACGGAAACAACCTCTTGGATCCACATTGCAGCTTTTGGCAATTTCTATAATAAACTGCATTACAACAGCTTGGTGTGCTACTTGCTCCATCAGAGCTCTTTTCTGAAAAATAAAGTTATGATTTAAAGATATTTCCTGTGATTATATTTCTACAATTCAGAATACTTTCCTTTTGTTCTAGTTCTTAAACAGATGAGAACTAATACTCACAGAAGCAAGGGGACCGATGATTACCTGTAACTAGACATGTACGTGACAATGCACTATAGACTTCTTTTCAGTAGAGAGGGTGGGAAGAACAGTTAAACAGCTGATCAAGTTGGTCAGCTTTTTTACAGTGTAAGTAGGAAACTGTATACTTTCAAACAATTTAAACATCTTCATACCTGTTCTGCTTCCAGATGAAAACACCACAACATAAGATATCTAGATGTTTCTTCACATACAAGATATGGGTGATCAGACAAAAATCTTTGACTATCATCCCATCTGCTCAACATACCTAGTAAGAGAAACATGGTTAAGATATTCTAAATGGATAAGCGATTTAATACAGCAAGGAAATTACTTGCATAGATATATATATATGCAGTATATATAACACCTTTGCAATTCACTAACCTCAGCATGACAGCATGCAGCTAAATTTGGCAGTTTTATTTATACATCTACCCGACAACAAATTACCAGAAGGTATAACCAGACTTGGAAAATACTAAAAATAGATTTTAACAGTCACAATATTCAGTAATTCAATGCATCTCTAACATAGTTGGCAAGTTATTTTTAATCAGTTTTCATACACACTAACAAAGTGTTGTAGGTATCTGTTGGTTACACCATCAAATAGTTTAAAAAGTTTATAGACAGATTTACATCCAGTGATTCTGACAAACACAAATCCTCTAAATATTTGCAAATAAGAATAAAAATTAAAATAAAAGAATGTGCCATCTGTCAAAAGTGAAAGTGCTTATAACACATTATTTGCTAGGTTTTTACAAAATTGGAATTTAATTACAGGAAAAGCTTGATCTGAAAATGCAAAGCCACATCCACTTAGGAAAGTTAACTGTAAGATTGATTTGTGATAGCACAAAGCTGCCTTCATGTAAAGAGCTGAGTTTAAAAATCAGAACTCAATACTTAATCCACTTGTTAAAATTTTTCTTCATGTATCACTGACAGTCAAGTCATCACTGCCAACAGGTACCAGATGTACAGTTTTACCTATCTATCAGTGTGTAATTATAATGGGGGCAAAAGATAATTCAGAAGTCATGACCTAAGCTAATCTTAATTCTAGTGAACAAATGCCTAAAGAGAAAGTGATGGCTGATATTTCTTTGGCTGTTCTCAAGACAAGTATCACGTGCAAGTTCTTTATTGCTTGGAAGCCAGCACAGTATCCAGGAACAGGACTCCTGCAATATGGCTAGCAAGGGCCACTCTGCCCCCTGGCAGCAGCTAGCCCAGAACAAGAGTCTTGAAATAGCATTAATGTACTGTCCCTTTTTACAATGGACCTACGTATTTTAAATTAAAGTAGCAAGAGGGATTTGAATTTCAGAGGTAAGAAAAAAACTGATCACCTTGTGTAATAAGATTGTTTGTGTAACAGCTTAATCTGAATTGAGAGAACTGAGTGATTTTGCCCAAGTCTTAGCTAGGAAGCCTGCAAGAGAGCCTCTTTTTCTCTGCTGAAGTGCACAGCAGGGGAGATGTCTTCTGATTCCACCATCACTACACAGAGCAGTTAGGCACAGGTTCTGTGAAACACCTCATCACTGCTGTTTGCATACTCTGACAGTGCTGTGTCCCACCTTGGTAAGGCTTGCCAAGGCAAAGAGGGCTATAAACCCTTTCTCTAAAACAGCTGAAGATCCTTAGAAGCCAAACAGCTTAGTAAAAACAAGTTTGTACAGAGAACTGAATTCTTCCAACTCAATCCTGTTCCTCACTGTTCTGAAATCCAAATATGGCTATACTGTATCATATTCTGAAACCAGCCAGTAACTAAAAATGGAAAGCATTTCAGAGAACCATCAAAATTTCAGATTACAAGATAGGCTTCGTGTTTAATTGGGCTCAACAATTATGACACAGCTAAAGTGACACCTAGCGGATAATTAAATAAAATTCTAAGAGACACACAATTCCACACACACTTAATGTCAGCAGGCATTTACAGACATTTCCTTTCAATCAGTCATTACCACTGTAGATTAATGGCTACCACAAAAACATCTGTTTAAAGGAGACAGCTATGGACAACCCCATGCAATTCTATACACACGACTAACATTTCCATGAATGTCCCTCCCTTTTCCCACTGAACTTGGCTAAAGGTTGCTAGGATGTTAGCATTTTCCAGGCTTAAGCTCATTTGAGTATTGAGTTTTGTTTCTTTTAAATTTCTTACTGGTCACAGAACTAACAAGCGTCTACACCTTATTTCACACTGAAATTATCATCTGTCCTAATAAAATAAAGCTGAACAGTCTGTTAGCCTGGTCTTCCATTTCTTAGCATTCATTCTGTACTACAGGAGCAAACTGACACAAATTATTTGTGAGTTTGAACTGCAAAATATTGAAAAAAGCACACTCACCAAAGTGTCTAATCTTTTGTTCGTGTTTTTGCGTAAGTGGTTCAGACACATCTTCATCTTCTCTTTCTTTTCTTTTTTGATTAATAAAACTCTGAGAAAGAAAAAAATATATATTATCACAGAAACTCCAGACATACCTACTGTGATTTTAACCTGGCAGGCCACTAAATACCATGCAGCTGCTTGCTCACTCTTCCACACCCCCAAAGAGTAGGGGAGACAGATTCGTGGGTTGAGATAAAAACAATTTAATAACTGAAATACAATTTAAAAAAAAAAAAAAAAAGAAAGAACATACAAACGAGTGATGCACAGTGCAACTGCTCACCACCTGCTGACCAATGCCCAGCCCATCCCTGGACAGTGATCCCCGAGGAGAGAAATCCCAGAAGAGAGAAAAAGCCGCCAGCCAATGCTCAGCTATATTCTGAGCACAATGCTGCATGATATGCAACAACGCATTGGGCAGTTTGGGCCTGTTCCTCTGGCTATGCCCCCTCCCAGCTTCCTACACACCTGCACACTAGCAAAGCCCTGGGCATCTGAGCAGCAACTAAAAACATCAGTGTATCATCCACACTCTTCTTGTACTGAATCCCATGCTAAATCCAAACCACAGCATTCTCCTAGCTATTACAAAGAAAATCAGCTTTGTCCCCAATGAAATCAGGACCTTTTTATGATACATAGGAATAATTATAATATTTAAAGGGCTATGTTCTAATTTTGAGTTACGTCATGTGCTTGGAAGGGTTTATTTTACAAAGTGCATTAGATAACAACAGAGTTTAGAAGTCTCATTGTAGTCTACTGACCCAAAGAGCTCTAAGAAACTTCTGTCCTCAGGTAGCAACTTACTGATCTGTCCACAATCAAGAATCAGGTACATGGCAGCCTGGATGCAGCTGGCTTAGTGAAATTAGGAGATGGGCTATTTGTTTAAATTATACTGTTATATCAAAGCTTAGATTCTACCATTAAAAAAAACAAAACACGTGTGTGCTAAATAATCTGTATTACAGTAGTCATTAGCAGTGGCAAACTAACAGTTTCATGTTTTAAGAATTTAGCACTGTAAAGAAACACACTCTTCATGTCAAAAAAATATTGTTCAGCACATTTGGTAACACTTGCACTACAAAGATTCATACAGTAGCTTGGGTTGGAAGGGAGGTCATGTCGTTGCACCACCCCACCTACCCTACTGTGTGTAGTGACATCTTACACTACATCAGGTTGCTGAAAGGCCCATCCGACCTCACCTTTATTGCTTCCAGGGATCAGGCATCCACAACTTCTCTGCGAAATCTGTTCCAGTGTTCCACCACTCCCATCTTAAAAAATTTCTCTCTTATATGCAATCTAAATACACCCTCTTTCAACTTTAAACAGTTGCTCCTTGGCCTGTTACTACAGGACATGATGAAACCCCTCCCCCACCCCACCCCCATCTTCCTCCTCTGGCCTCTTTAAATACTAAAACGCCATAAAGAGGTCTCCCCCAGCCTTCTCCTCTCCAGGCTGAACAACCCCAACCCTCTCAGCCTTTCCTCATAGGAGAGGTGCTCCAGCCCTCTGATCATTTTGTGGTCTTCCCCTGGACATATTCGAACAGGTCCATGTCTTTCCTGTGCTGAAGACTCCAGAACTGGACATAACACTCCAGGTGGGGTCTCAAGAAACCTGAGTAGAGAGGCAGAATCACCCCCCTCAACCACACTTCTTTTGATGCAGCCCAGGATACAACTGGCTTTCTGGGCTGCAAGTGCACACTGCCAGCTCTTATCTAACACCAAGATGACCCACACAAATTCTAATTCACACTCGTGGTAGAGAAATGCCATTCAGATTTTTAGCATAGGTGCAAAGTAAGGGAAAAAAAAAAAAAAAGACATTTAACAGACACTGTAGTTTTCTGCTGGACTGGACACAAAAGACATTCAATGAAAAATGAAGCTAACACTTTTTTTCATGCACAATGATATAGATCATACCTTATTAAATACCTCCTTACTAACAGGATCTGTGTTCCATAGATTGTGTCCTTCCTTCTGGTTTAGTGCTTCTTCTTTTTTTCTCCACTCTTCTTCTCTCCATCTTAATTCTGCAGCTTCAGTCTTTGCTTGAGCAGATTCCTGATCAAAAGATTCTGAATTATGCAGTGCTAAGCTACCAAGTTTTTGCTGGGCTTCTGCTAGGTTCCACGTGCATTCCACCGAGTGCTTCACAAATTCTCTTTCTTTTTGACAGGCTAATTCAATCCCTTGGCTGTACGTCTATAAGGAAAATGAGACATGCTATTTATGAAGGGAAAATAGACAGTTTACAGTTCATGTAAGAGCAGACAGGTCTAAATCTCAAAAATAATGCACCCGGAAGGCACCTTAGATAAGCAGGATTATATTGATGGGAGTGATGGACAGCCTTGTTCAGCTACATGTTTTCTACAAAGACATTTCTAATTGAAGCTGTCTTACCTTTGTTAAGTGCATTTGCAAAATCATGGATCACATCCTGCTACCAGTAAGTTTCCAGACCATACAAATACATTTGACACAGCTGAAACCCCTCTGGCTATGCTCAGATTGCAAGGCCAGTGCCAGCCAATTCCAAGAACACTCTGAATATGTACTTCTCCAAAGAAAGGGTTGGTTTTGTGGTGTCAGATCACAACAGTAAAGTATCTGCTGCTGCTTGCATTCCAATATGGATTAGTACCTATCAGATGGCCAACAACTTCCCCTGAACTGCCAGTGAAAGTGGAATTTAAGTTATGAAGTAGCTCAGCAAAAGAATATGCTCCTTTTGGTCAAATATACTGAGGATGTTACCACTCATAAGTGGGAGAGAAAAGTGACCTCTTAAACAATTCATATTACTTATATATACACCTAGTATGTTTATATTACTTCCAGGTGTGTGCTGGGAATTGACAGTAAACTAAGAAATTATCCTTTAAAGCATATGCCATGCCTCCTCACCAAGAGGGAAGAAAAAACATCCACAGCCATTTGCTTCTCAATTTCTGTGCCATTTCATGAAGCTTGTGCTGCTGATACCCTATGGCAGAGGGACACGAGGGACAACACAAGCTGTAAAAGACTATTTGAGGGAAACTTTAATGCAGGTGATGTCAGTTAATAATTGAAATAAGTAAAACGTAGAGGGAAAAATCACATAAAAGAGAACAAGAAGATACAGAGAATAAAACCAGAGCTCACATAACACTGGGACAGCAACAATTAGAAAAAAAACACATCCCAAGCAGTCAGCTGCCCGACCTTGAGACATAAGCCTGCAAAACAGATGGAAGGGATAGGAAGGAGCGCTCCCCACAACTCACCTAAGACGGGGCCTTGAGCACTGGGTAGAAAACACTAACTGGACTCCCCATATTAACACACTGTCAGCATATGAATGCCTTACAACACACTGAAGTACCCACCCACAGGCTAGAGGGGCCCCTAATAACAAACAGCCCCCTATTCTTTCAGTATGCACAGCGAAATTTTTAAGCACTGTCACTTCAAATGGAAGTGAAGAAGTAGTTAACCAGTCACGTTTGCTATAGAGCATTATTAGAGATAAAGCAACGTTACGTGTTTCTGCGTATAGAAGCAGCAACCTGTGTTTCAGGAATTGCTTGTGGAACGCCATCCCGCTCCCCTTTCCGCACCGAACGGGGTATGAGAGCAAACACCGGGACTCCGCGTGTGGATCAGCCCCCCGCGCTCCGGGGGCCGGGCCCCGCGCCCGGGCACGTCAGGGCTCTGCTGCCAGCTCCCTTTTCAGAGCCGCGGCGGTTTTATTCCTTTACAAGACAAAACTCCCGCTGCGGGGAGGACGCACACACAGCCCT